CACCTGTCCAAAACCCCGGATAAACCTCCGGTAGTAATTCGCAAAACCCAAGAACTGTTGCACCTCTTTCACAGTGGTTGGGGTTTGCCAATTACGCACAGCTGACACCCGGTCAACCTCCATCTTCACCCCTGACGCAGACAACTGATAACCCAAAAAGGAGACCGACTTCTGAAAGAACAGACATTTCTCTGCCTTGACATATAGGTCATGCTCCAACAGCCTCCTCAACACTCGGCGCACCAGGGCTACATGCTCTGCTCGGGTAGAACTGTACACCAGAATATCGTCTATGTACACGACTACTCCCTGCCCCTGCATGTCCCGGAAAATCTCATCGACGAAGTATTGGAAGACTGAGGGAGCATTCATTAACCCATATGGCATGACGAGATACTCGTAATGACCGGAGGTCGTGCTAAACGCTGTCTTCCATTCATCGCCCTCTCTAATGCGCACCAAGTTATATGCGCTCCTGAGATCCAATTTTGTGAAGAACTGAGCACCGTGTAATGATTCCGTCATAGTCGCAATCAGAGGAAGTGGATAGCTGTACTTCACCGTAATCTGATTGAGACCGCGGTAATCAATACACGGGCGCAGACCTCCATCCTTTTTCTTCACAAAAAAGAAGCTTGAGGAAGCGGGTGAAGTGGAGGCCCGTATGTATCCCTGTCTCAGAGACTCGGCGATGTAAGTTTCCATCGCCTTCCTCTCCTCTTGAGACAAGGGATACACATGACTCCGCGGGAGGGCTGCTCCTAACTGGAGATCTATCGCACAATCCCCCTGTCTATGAGGCGGCAGCTGCGCCGCCCTAGTCTTACTAAACACCAGTGTCAAATCCTCATACTCGGGGGGAATATGCAGTGCAGGCATTAGATTCGGACTTTCCACCGAGGTCGCCCCTATGGAAACACCCAGACACAGCCCCTCACACTGAGCAGACCACCCTTTAAGAGCTTTCTCTCGCCACGAAATAGTAGGGTCATGGGTAATCAACCAGGGAAGCCCCAGCACCACCGGATACGCAGGAGAGTCAATCAGATAGAGCTGAATCGTCTCCTCATGACCCCCCTGCGCCTCCATCTTAAGGGGCGCTGTGACCTCCCTAATCAACCCAGATCCTAACGGACGGCTATCTAGGGCATGTACAGGGAAAGGCTTATCAACGGGAAGGAGAGGAATCCCTAATTCTACACAGAACTGGCGATCTACAAAGTTCCCAGCTGCGCCTGAATCGACTAGCGCCTTATGCTGGGAACGAGGTGCTACCTGTGGAAAACAAACAGGCAAGGTTATGTGAACGACAGAAAGCTCTGGGTAAGTAGGGCGCCTACTCACCTGGGAGGACTCCCCAATGCGTGGCCTGCCTTCACCGCCACCGGGGGACCTTCCCCAACACCTAGCCACGGTGTGCCCTCCACGGCCACAGTTGGTGCAGGGGACGGCCCCCCTCGGGTTCCTACTCCTCCTTTCTCTAGCGCCAGCACCTCCGAGCTCCATAGGGCTTGGCTCGGAGGTGCTGGAGGGTGAAATGGGCGACCCCCATCCGGGACGTCCACGGGTGGCGAGCAGGGTGTCCAACCGAATGGCCATGTCGACTAGTTGGTCAAACGTCAACATGGTATCCCTGCACGCCAACTCTCTTTGGACGTCCTCCCGGAGGCTACAACGGAAGTGGTCTATGAGGGCCCGCTCATTCCACCCTGCATCTGCCGCTAGAGTCCGGAACTCCAGGGCAAAATCCTGTGCGCTCCTCATCCCCTGTCGGAGGAAGAACAGACGCTCCCCCGCCGCCTTCCCTTCTGGTGGATGGTCGAACGCGGCCCGGAAGCGGCGGGAGAACTCCGCATAGGTGATGGTAGCGGCGTCCATTCTCCTCCATTCGGCATTGGCCCACTCCAACGCCTTGCCGGTGAGACAGGAGATGAGGGCGGAGACGCTCTCGTGTCCCGAGGGCGCCGGGTGTACGGTGGCGAGGTAGAGCTCCACCTGTAGCAGGAACCCTTGACACCCGGCAGCGGAGCCGTCGTACGCCCTCGGGAGCGAGAGCCGAATCCCACTGGGTTCCGGAATGTGGACAGGAGGACTGACCGATGGGGATGGTCCGGTAGGTGGGGGCGTGGGTACCCCGCTGCTTTCCCATCGGTGGAGAGTGTTCATCACCCGATCCAAGGCGTGACCGATCTGGTTAATCCGGTCCTCCTGTCCACGAAGACGGTCCTCCATGACCTCTGTCGGCGCGGGTGCTCCTGCTGACTCCATGATGTGATATGGTATTCTGTCAGTAGCTGAGTGTAGATGCGGTGAGGAAATCAAGCGCAGGAAACACGGGCGTTCGTCAACAGACTTTAGTTAACAAAATGCAGCACCAAACAGGCGAACAGCCAACCCAACCGGGAGGCAAAATACAAATTACGCACAACACACACAGTGCGTAAAATTAAGATAGCGCACACAGTGCGGACTCTCGGAAAACAACAAACACGAGAGTAATACAAAAAGAGCAACAGCTTGACAATAAACAATACCACATAACACCTGCCCCCACACACGAAAACTAAATAGGCAACCAAATCAAACACTAACAAGGGACAGGTGTACAAACAGACAAAACCAAACAAACATGAAACATCGAACGGTGGCAGCTAGTACTCCGGGGACAACGACCGCCGAAGCCTGCCCGAACAAGGAGGAGGAGCAGCCTCGGCCGAAACCGTGACACAAACACACTATCCAGGTTACACTTCCACACTCCATTCCCCCAGGGGGCAGCAGAAACCTTGTCGAGATGCTAAGCCTGGTTGATAAGCACATCAGGTGCTACCAATCAGGGTGAATCGTCAGTCAGTGTCCCAGCTGGGAAGCCGTGAGGCTGATGGGTTGTTTGGTGGCCATGAGGTCATTCATTTGGTTTTGAATCTTTAGTTTATGTATGCCTTTTTGTAGTTTCATTTGTTCATATATATTTATTTTGGTCACCTTTGAACAACTAATAATCCGCTTGACCTGGCCAACCAAGAGGTCAAGAGAGACAGAGCTGGCCCTGGACCTAAGGTAAGGATGCTGTCTCCCTGGGCACATGTGCATCCAACACAGTGCTCAAACGCTGATTTCTCACATAAATGCACACATTAATTCAGGTTACGGACCATGTAACTAGGCCTAGGACCCCTAGACAAAGCAAGTGCAACAATATCTGTAGGCTAGTTATGGGTTTCGTAACAGTTTAATATTTTGTGGCAGGATCAATGACAGAAGAGGAAGCGAGACATCCCACTCCCTCCTTTTTTCTGGTTCATATACAGTCAATGAACTAAGTAGACCAGAACCAGCTTCTATTGCATTGGTGCTTACAGTATAGCCACCCCTTAAGCTGAATTTCTTTCAATGGTAAACAACTCTACTACACTACTTGTTCAAATCAATCAGAAAGTTTATTTCCAGGTTGTCACACACCTGGCCACTGCTGCAGCTCATGAAGTCAGTCAAGCTAATAAACTTCTCGGGTGGAGTTGTCATCTTTATCCTCCTGATGCATCCTGACAGAATCATCAACTTCCTAACAATCAAAACTGTTGGTTTGTGTGGCTCAGTTGGTAGAGCATGGCGCTTGCAATGCCAGGATCGTGGGTTTGTTTACCTAGGGGGACCAGTATTAAAAATGTATGCACTCACTACTGTAAGTCGCACTGGATAAGAGTGTCTGCTAAATTACGAATATGTACCATTAGCAAGTCTCGTGCAGAGATCTAACGGTAATAAAAAGTGGTAGGATATTTTAATTTACTGTAGCCTACCCGACGAACAGCCAGCTGTGGTTATTTCCGGTTTCTCGTCTCATGGGTAATGTAGTTCTCTGTTTGGCTGCGTTCATGTGCTCATTGGAAACTGTTATTTCCTATCACTCTAACGGCAATGAAAAGTGACAACTTTTTATTAACATTTATTTGTAGATTTTCACAATGTTTTTCACTTGCGACATGATTGCAAACATGATCTAAAATACTACAACAAAAAATAAGCAAAATACTTATTCTTTGTCTTAACATCTAGCAACATGTTTGGCTGGAAGGCATCACTTTTTACTAGCAAAAAATGCATTTTAAAGAAATGCCACCATATTTTTTATTTTAACCTTTAATTTAACTAGGCAAGTCAGTTAAGAATAAATTCTTATTTACAATGACGGCCTACCCCGGGCAAACCCAGACGACACTGGGCCAATTGTGCGCCGCCCTATGGGACTCCCAGTCACGGCCGGATTGTGATACAGCCTGGAATTGAACCAGGGTCTGTGACGCCTCTGAGATGCAGTGCCTTAGACCGCTGCGCCACTCAGGAGCCCACACTAAGCTTTTAGTTTTAATTTATTGATTTGTGTTAAAGGTCCAATGCAGCTATTTTTATCTCTATCAAATCATTTCTGGGTAACAATTAAGTACCTTACTGTGATTGTTTTTAATTAAAATGGTCAAAAATAAACATAGCTTCTTAGCAAAGAGCAAATTCTCAAGCAAGTATTTAGCTGGGACTGTCTGGGAGTGGTCTGAGTGGGGAGGGGAAAACTAAAAGCTACTGTTATTGGCAAATAGGTTTGGAACTCTTTCTTATTGGTCTATTAACTTAATTTGCAGCATGGAGATGTCAACAGGCAGGCCAAAACTCCATCCCACCAATACAGGATGAAATTTCAGGCTGTCTTTTTAAACAGCTCTTACACTAAAAGGGCCATATTATAATTTTCACAATTTCACAGAATCATTCCAAACTCATAGTGTGGAAATATATATAACACACAGGGAAGTCACACTTTCGACAGCACTGGGCCTTTAACCGGGTCTTCAATCAGCATGACACAGGCAAAATTAGAAAGGCCAACAGTTTTGGAGTCATAGAGCTAGATTCAATCATATTGCGGAAGATCTGCGTTATAGCGCAATTTAAATTTCTGATTGAGCCGTGTTTACCGTGAATGCAGTCTCCGCAAACGCAGGAACATTGCCTTTAAATTTAAATCGCACTATTTCACTGATCTTCCGCAATACAGATGTAATCTAGGCCAAAGGCACAGTGGTTGAGAAATGGGACTAATGTCTTGCTGGATGCAAGCCTCAGGCCATATTGATAACAGATGCATGAAGTTACTTTGACATTATCCTGAGATATCAAACATAAACAAGCTCCCCCCACTACACACAAACCCTTCTCACTCACACACCATACAAACGCAGGAGTGGGTTTACTGAGCAGTTTTTTGACAAGTTTTCCTTTCCTTCAACCTACAGTAGCCTACATTATGTCCTCCCTGTTATACACACAGGGCCTAGAGGTGGCAGTATAGCTTCACTGGACTCTAGTGCCTTAAGGCTTGGCTGGTATTCAATCCGTAGCGTTGTAGCGCACTTAACATTTGAAGGTAATTTGAGTTGATTGAGCCGACATCTGCAGCATTTAACGCGAATGCGATCTCAGCAAACATGTAAACATTGCCTGTAAAAGGCACATTATTGTCGACAACGCTCTACAACGAGCCTTTGATTGAATCCCAGCCTCGGCCACAGGAAGGACATTCACTCACTCTTCATCTTCATTGTCCAAATCATTCCACAGCACTTGCGGAAGCAGACTTTGCAGCATTTAACGGTGACCATGACAACAGTCAGAACTATAGTAAGTAGCAGAGCGAACACGTCCAGACTGTGGTACTGGATCCAGTTCAGGTCGTGAGCAGCGGGTCTCAGGTGGTCGGCTCCTCCGTGGCGCATCACGAACTCTGTCCAGAATACGGCCAGGTCCAGCGGCTCGATGGGACGGTCCTTATGCACCGCTGACAGCTTTAGCATCTTCTCCTTGTAACTGAGGAGGAAGGATAGAGAACATGAGGAATGCATCAGGGTTTGTAATCTCCTCATAGACCTCCTCATGGCTGCTAATACAGTACCAGTGAAGGAAGTGGGTTCTTCTGACGAGGAACTCAGACTGTCACCTCAATAATGGATTGCTGACAATATGATATTTGTACTGAAACTCAATATTATGTGTGTGGATTTCAAGTTAGGATTTGGTCTCTGTACTGTTTGCACTGCTTCTTGAGTTCACAATATCTCCTATTATATATAAAGACATGTCCATCTAAAAGGACGCATGAGCACCAACATGTAAAGTTCATAGGAGCATGTCAAATTGGGTGTCAAATGAAAGCTATGCGTCTATATTTTTTTTAATCAAGGCATATATTTTTCAACCATTTTCCATCCAAATATTTAGGAATAAGCAAACACTTTTATTTCTGGTCAAACCGATAGAAAATGGGTCTTAGACATCATCTACTAGAAAAAGTCTTAAAATGTACTAGAAATACATAAAAACACAATAATTGTCATGAGCCTCTCACTCCACCGGGTTACCACCTTAATTTTCTTCCACTCTGCTCACCACTCTCTCTACTCAGCCTAACTAGCTCCACCTGTCCCTGCTCTGCTCTGCTCTAATTACTCTGCCAGCTGCGCTGCATTACCCACTACCTCTCCCAGTATTTAAGGCCCTGTCTTTCAGCTCTCCGGTGTCAGATCGTCTGCAAAGCTCACACCCGGAACCTGTTTGCTCGCGCTTCTGGCTCACCCTGGTTTTGTGACCCCGGACCTGCCTGATTTTTGGATACTCTTCTGCCCCAGGAGATCCAGACCTGCTTCTGCCATAACGACTCCTGACTACTCTTCAATCCCGGTAACTCTGACCAGCCTTCTGCCTTGCTACTACGTATTTTGGAATTCCCTTGAACTGTACTGCTGCCTTGTTTCATTCCGCCCTGTTGTGTCTGTGTCTCCCCCCCCCAGGACTTCTGGACCACCCACCACCGGCTTCATAGGACGCATCGCTGCCACTGGGGGGGGCACAGACCCAGCACATTGGACGGGATCCCTGTTACCCCTGGAGCCTTCATTCACTCCCTACTTCCCTTTTCCCTTAAGTTTTAATAAACTTTCTGGTGTGACGCAATTGTGGTCCTCTGGTCGTCTGTCTGAACCGTGACAGTACGATCTGACCATTATGGACTCAGCGCACACTTTCCCCGACATGGAAACCGATGAGCATGAGCAGCAGTTCCAGCAGCAGCAACAACAACTCGCCATGATCATTCAACTCCTCACCAACCTTACCCCAGCCAGTCTGCCCACCAGCCCTGCCCCCGAGTTACCTGCCCCGGTCATTGCAGCCGGCAAGGCAGACGTATTCAGTATTCGACAAGGCAGACGTACAGTCGCAGACCATTCCATCGACTTCCGAACCCTGGCTAGACGAAGTTCTTGGAACACACCATCGTTGGTGGACGCGTTCTTCCATAGTTTGGCTGACTATATCAAGGACGAGTTGGTCTCCCATGAACTGCCTTCCACTCTTGATGAAGCCATCGCACTGACTGTCAGGATCGACAGAAGGATACAGACCCGTCGTCGTGAGAGGGGGCGCCAAGGTCCACCTACTACCGGCATTCGGAGAGATCCGACTGGGCTCCTGTCATCTACTGCCACTCACCCAGGTCAGCTTGATCAGTCTGAGCCTATGGAGATTGGGCGAGCCTCTCTCACTCCTGCAGAGCGCCAGCGCCGCTTCACCTCAAACCTCTGCCTCTATTGTGGAGGTGATGGACATCGTGTGGTAACCTGCCCTTTAAAGGGCCGAAGCTCACCGGGCATAGGGGGAGTCCGGTTGAGTTCAATGACCATCCAGTCCTCCGACCGCAAACCCCTGCTGCAAGTTCACCTCCGCCTCTCTGACTCAACTCACACCCTGGCTGCTCTGGTGGATTCTGGCGCCGAAGCCAACATAATGGACATCAAGCTGGCACGCCAACTGGGACTGGAGAACCTCCGTTTGACACCTCCTATTCCTGCCCGGGCACTGGACGGACACTTACTCGGATCGGTCACTCATGTCACGGCCCCGGTCTCGATGGGTCTGTCCGGAAACCATCAAGAAACTATCCAGTTTCACCTGCTCCCCTCTCCAGGCCAACCCCTCATCCTGGGTTACCCATGGCTCCGCCGGCACAACCCTCAGCTCGACTGGGTGACCGGGGTGATCAGGGAGTGGGGAGAGGACTGCCACCGAACCTGCCTGCTTGCTGCCGCACTACCCCCTCGGCCAGTACCTACTAACTCCGCTCCTGACCTCTCCAATGTCCCAGAATGCTACCATGGTCTCAGAGAGGTGTTTAACAAAGCAAGAGCCACATCTCTGCCCCCTCACCGACCGTACGACTGTGCCATCGACCTCCTCCCTGGAACAGCCCCTCCAAAGGGTCGTCTTTATTCGTTGTCTGCTCCTGAAAGAAAGTCCATGGAGGACTACATCAATGGCTCTCTGTCCGCAGGATTAATCCGTTCATCTTCATCTCCTGCTGGTGCTGGCTTCTTCTTTGTGGGGAAGAAGGACGGATCTCTTCGCCCCTGCATCGACTACAGGGGACTCAACGACATCACAGTGAAGAACCGTTACCCTCTGCCTCTGCTCACCTCTGCTTTTGAGTTGCTCCAGGGAGCCACTGTTTTTACCAAGTTGGATCTCAGAAACGCTTACCACCTAGTGCGGATCCGGGAGGGAGATGAATGGAAAACCGCATTCAATACACCAACAGGCCACTACGAGTATCTGGTTATGCCTTTTGGCCTCACCAATGCTCCTGCTGTGTTCCAGGCTCTAGTGAATGATGTACTGCGGGACATGTTAAACAAGTTTGTCTTCGTTTACCTGGATGACATCTTAATCTACTCCAGAAACCTGTCTGAACACACCCGCCATGTCCAGCAAGTCCTTCATCGTCTTCTGGAGAATTCCCTCTACGCCAAGGCAGAGAAATGTGAGTTTCACGTCAAGACAGTGGCCTTCCTGGGGTACATAGTGGCAGAGGGAAGTATCCAAATGGATCCTGCCAAAGTATCAGCAGTCACTTCATGGCCAGTTCCGGAGAACAGAAAGAAGCTGCAACAGTTTCTGGGGTTTGCTAACTTCTATAGAAAGTTTATCCGGAACTACAGTACCGTTGCTGCCCCTCTCACTGCTCTAACCAGCACCAAGCAACCCTTCACCTGGACCCCAGCAGCCGACAAAGCCTTCAGTACCCTCAAGGTGAGGTTCACCTCCGCTCCCATCCTCCAGATGCCTGATGTGGACCGGCAATTCATTGTGGAGGTGGACGCCTCGGATGTGGGAGTTGGTGCTGTGATTTCTCAGTGGGCTGCGGAGGATAGGAAGCTCCATCCCTGTGCCTTTTTCTCACGTCGGTTGTCCCCCTCTGAGTGCAATTACGACATAGGGAACCGTGAGCTGCTGGCTGTGAAGCTTGCCTTGGAGGAGTGGCGTCACTGGCTGGAGGGGTCCACCATTCCATTTCTCGTTTGGACCGATCATAAGAACTTGGAGTACATCCGCACGGCCAAACGGTTGAACTCCAGGCAGTCCCGCTGGGCCCTGTTCTTCACCAGGTTTAATTTCACTCTGTCATACCGGCCTGGATCACGCAACACCAAGCCAGACGCCCTCTCCCGTCAATTCCAGAAGGATGACACCCCCTCCAAGGACCCTGTGTCGATTCTGCCAAGTCCCTGCATCGTTGCAGCTCTGACCTGGGCTGTTGAGGAACAGGTGCTGGAGGCTCTCCGTAACCAGCCAGGTCCCAGCACTTGCCCAGCTGACCGCCTTTTTGTCCCCGAAGACCTGAGGTCCCAGGTCGTTCAGTGGGGACATGACTCCCGCCTAGCTTGTCACCCTGGCTCCACCCGCACTTACAACCTGCTCGCCCAGAGGTTCTGGTGGCCCTCTCTGAGAAAGGATGTACGGGAATTCGTCCAAGCCTGCCCCATCTGCAACCAACACAAGTCGTCCTGCCAGCCCCCAGCCGGATTGCTGCAGCCCCTGCCTGTGCCCAGACGTCCCTGGTCTCACATCGCCCTTGACTTTGTCACGGGGCTGCCCCCTTCAAGTGGCATGACCGTCATTCTCACCATAGTTGACCGTTTCAGCAAGATGGCACACTTCATTCCCCTCCCCAAGCTCCCAACCGCCAAGGAGACCGCCCAGGTGGTCCTGGAACACGTCTTCCGGATCCACGGACTGCCAAAGGATGTAGTTTCTGACCGTGGTCCACAATTCTCCTCCGCTTTTTGGAAGGAGTTCTGTCACCTGCTGGGAGCCACAGTCAGTCTGACTTCCGGATTCCATCCCCAATCCAATGGGCAGTCAGAGCGGGCTAATCAGGAGCTCGAGAAGGCACTGCGATGCATGACTTCACGCAACCCCCACTCCTGGTCGCAGCAATTGACATGGGTGGAGTACGCACACAATTCTCTGACCTGCTCTGCCATCGGTATGTCCCCTTTCCAATGTGTTTATGGATACCAGCCTCCTCTATTTGCCAGCCAGGAAGAGGAGGTTACTTGCCCATCTGCACTTGCTTTTGCCCGTCGATGTCGCCGCACCTGGTCACAAGCCCGAGCCACACTCCTCAGATCCGTTGCCAGCTACACTACCGGGGCCAACCGTCGGAGAATTCCTGCTCCCACCTACCATGTTGGTCAAAGGGTGTGGTTGTCATCGAAGAACCTGCCACTCAGGGTGGAGTCGCAGAAGCTGGCACCTCGGTTCATTGGCCCATTCCCTATCATAAGAGTGATTAGCCCAACTGCTGTCCGGCTCCAACTGCCTAATTCCCTGAGGGTGCACCCCACTTTCCATGTGTCTAAGATTAAGCCCATCCATGAGAGTCCGCTGGTCCCTGCTGCGCCTTGTCCTCCTCCTCCACGGCTCGTCGATGGTGGTCTGGTTTACACCGTCCGCCGCCTGCTTCGGTCCAGACGGAGGGGTAGGGGTCTCCAGTACCTCATTGACTGGGAGGGCTATGGACCTGAGGAAAGGACCTGGGTGCCAGCTAGTCGGATTGTGGATAGGACTCTCATCACCGCTTTCCACCAACGGCATCCTGATCAACCTGCAATCCGTAGGGGCCGCCCCAGAGGGGTCCCTAACCGTCCTGCCCGCTCGGCTTCCTGTCCTGTGCCTGATCCTGTCTCGGGACCTGTCCCATCTCCCGACCACGGCCCTCCGGCTTCCTCCGAGGATGAGGACGTTCACTCGGACCGTTCGGAGGAGTTCTAGCCCTCCTCCGGCTCCCCTCCTCCCGCCCGGCGTGGTGTTGCTCTTGGGACTTCTGGGGCCGTCCCTTGGGGGGGGGGTTCTGTCATGAGCCTCTCACTCCACCGGGTTACCACCTTAATTTTCTTCCACTCTGCTCACCACTCTCTCTACTCAGCCTAACTAGCTCCACCTGTCCCTGCTCTGCTCTGCTCTAATTACTCTGCCAGCTGCGCTGCATTACCCACTACCTCTCCCAGTATTTAAGGCCCTGTCTTTCAGCTCTCCGGTGTCAGATCGTCTGCAAAGCTCACACCCGGAACCTGTTTGCTCGCGCTTCTGGCTCACCCTGGTTTTGTGACCCCGGACCTGCCTGATTTTTGGATACTCTTCTGCCCCAGGAGATCCAGACCTGCTTCTGCCATAACGACTCCTGACTACTCTTCAATCCCGGTAACTCTGACCAGCCTTCTGCCTTGCTACTACGTATTTTGGAATTCCCTTGAACTGTACTGCTGCCTTGTTTCATTCCGCCCTGTTGTGTCTGTGTCTCCCCCCCCCAGGACTTCTGGACCACCCACCACCGGCTTCATAGGACGCATCGCTGCCACTGGGGGGGGCACAGACCCAGCACATTGGACGGGATCCCTGTTACCCCTGGAGCCTTCATTCACTCCCTACTTCCCTTTTCCCTTAAGTTTTAATAAACTTTCTGGTGTGACGCAATTGTGGTCCTCTGGTCGTCTGTCTGAACCGTGACAATAATGTTGAATTAAAGAACCCAGCCAATATCAACACTTATATTTCATTTTGGAGAAATTATTTGTCTTTTGTAAGTTTAAGAAACATTGCCTTGTGCCTTCTGTTACCAAAAACCCACATATCTTTAAGATATTTTCTCTCCCTCATGAAGAGGGAGGATAATGAGTTCATAGAAGTAACAAGTAAAGGTAGATTTAACAATTAGTTATAGTGTTTTTAGTGGTATCAAGTTTGTTTATGAATAATGAAGTGATTAAAACTCGTAATTCTGTTCCCAAATCGGTAACGGAATTACTGCAATTGAATTGGCTACCATGGGAAATCATAGTAGTCACAAACCACAGTTGGGTCACCTGCTACTGTCCTCCCTTTCACTGGCATACTTACTGTATCTCACAAAAGTGAGTACACCCCTCACATTTTTGTAAATATTTGAGTATATCTTTTCATCTGACAACACTGAAGAAATGACACTTTGCTACAATGTAAAGTAGTAAGTGTACGGCTTGTATAACAGTGTAAATTTGCTGTCCCCTCAAAATAACTCAACACACAGCCATGAATGTCTAAACCGCTGGCAACAAAAGTGAGTACACCCCTAATTGAAAATGTCCAAATTGGGCCCAATTAGCCATTTTGCCTCCCCAGTGTCATGTGACTCGTTAGTGTTACAAGGTCTCAGGTGTGAATGGGGAGCAGGTGTGTTAGATTTGGTGTCATCGCTCTCACACTCCCTCATACTGGTCACTGGAAGTTCAACATGGCACCTCATGGCAAAGAACTCTCTGAGGATGTGAAAAAAAGAATTGTTGCTCTACATAAAGATGGCCTGGGCTATAAGAAGATTGCCAAGACCCTGAAACTGAGCTGCAGCACGGTGGCCAAGACCATACGGCGGTTTAACAGGACAGGTTCCACTCAGAACAGTCCTCGCCATGGTCGACCAAAGAAGTTGAGTGCACGTGCTTAGCGTCATATCCAGAGGTTGTCTTTGGGAAATAGACGTATGAGTGCTGCCAGCATTGCTGCAGAGGTTGAAGGGGTGGGGGGTCAGCCTGTCAGTGCTCAGACCATACGCCGCACACTTCATCAAATTGGTCTGCATGGCTGTCGTCCCAGAAGGAAGCCTCTTCTAAAGACGATGCACAAGAAAGCCCGCAAACAGTTTGCTGAAGACAAGCATACTAAGGACATGGAATACTGGAACCATGTCCTGTGGTCTGATGAGACCAATAAACTTATTTGGTTCAGATGGTGTCAAGCGTGTGTGGCGGCAACCAGGTGAGGAGTACAAAGACAAGTGTGTCTTGCCTACAGTCAAGCATGGTGGTGGGAGTGTCATGGTCTGGGGCTGCATGAGTGCTGCCGGCACTGGGGAGCTACAGTTCATTGAGGGAACCGTGAATGACAACATGTACTGTGACATACTGAAGCAGAGCATGATCCCCTCCCTTCGGAGACTGGGCCACAGGGCAGTATTCCAACATGATAATGACCCCAAACACACCTCCAAGACGACCACTGCCTTGCTAAAGAAGCTGAGGGTAAAGGTAATGGACTGGCCAAGCATGTCTCCAGACCTAAACCCTATTGAGCATCTGTGGGGCATCCTCAAACGGAAGGTGGAGGAGTGCAAGGTCTCTAACATCCAACAGCTCCGTGATGTCGTCATGGAGGAGTGGAAGAGGACTCCAGTGGCAACCTGTGAAGCTCTGGTGAACTCCATGCCCAAGAGGGTTAAGGCAGTGCTGGATAATGATGGTGGCCACACAAAATATTGACACTTTGGGCCCAATTTGGACATTTTCACTTAGGGGTGTACTCACTTTTGTTGCCAGCAGTTTATACATTAATGGCTGTGTGTTGTGTTATTTTGAGGGGACAGCAAATTTACACTGTTATACAAGCTGTACACTCACTACTTTACATTGTAGCAAAGTGTCATTTCTTCAGTGTTGTCACATGAAAAGATATACTCAAATATTTACAAAAATGTGAGGGGTGTACTCACATTTGTGAGATACTGTATGTTCAGCTCATAAATGTTTTCTTTCTGTTGTCTGATGGTTAAAGCAACATTGTGAAAAGTCTGGACAATCCCTCACTCTCTTTCTCTGCCGCTCTCTCTCTTCTCTCTCTCTCCAGTTAATGTCACCTCTCCCGGCTCTTACTGACACCTACCATGACATCTACCACCTACTCTCTTTCCATTTAATGTAACAAGCATCCTCAACCACTGAGCACTGACCAACACCGGACGTCCATGGACTTTGAAAAGTAGTCCATGGACATCCAAATCTGAACCGATCATGGACGTCTATGTTTTACAAGTCTGGACATCACAGTACAGTAGAGAACAGTACAGTATAGAACAGTACAGTATAGAACAGTACAGTATAGAACAGTACAGTATAGAACAGTACAGTACAGTAGAGCACACTAGAGGGAGATTTTACCGTAATTCTGTTACCAAACATTGCATTTGCACAGTTTTTCCAGTAAATGTGTTTTGGTGAAATCTTCTATGTAAATTGTTCAAAGTAATCCTTGTGCATAGTTGTATGGTTTGTTAAACTTATAAATCAATGGTTATCGTTTGGCATACATTTTAAAGTGAAAAATCTGAGTCAAAGCGTAATTCCGTTACCGTGGAATTGTCCATAACATGATGTGCTTGTAACATTGTTACTTCCTAGTATTATGTTAACATGATGTCTGACCTCTTGTCATTGATGACCTTGTTGAGGGCCTCCACCAGTTTGTCTGAGGTGACATCGAATATACTGAGCACCTCCCCTACTCCCCTCACTGCCATGCGGTGTACGTTGTCACCCTGGTCACCAAACAATGGCAGCATCACCATGGGAACGCCGTTACAGATCCCCTCGTAGATACCGTGGGTTCCTCCGTGGGTGATGAAGGCCTTGACCTTGGGGTGGCCTAGAACCGGACATAGAACATAGAACATTCACCATGAGGGAGTTGACATCAAAATAAAGGAGAAGATTAAGTATTATCTTGCAACAACATAAACAACAGTAGTGTGATGTGTTCACTGAGAAGAGTGCCCTTCTGTAACTCCCCCAGATGGTTTTCATTATAACTATATCATTATAACTGATGAGAGATTAAACCAACCCAGCAAATCATTCTGAGGAAGCCACTTCATCACTCTGACATTGGCTGGAGCATTCACAGGCACCACCCCTGTGTACCTCCACACAACCTGAAACACAGAGAGACAACAATTTACTTAGCTAATCAAGGCTTAGATTCGATGAGATCAAGCGTTAACCGGCAACAGCCGACATCCGCATAGCTGTTGTTTTGGTGGTGTCTGAGGTGTAACTGCGTTAATCGGTGAGCAGCTGCTCTTATGATCATTGGGTGGATTCGATTATGCTGAGATGCAGGGCCGGACAAAGGCCCATAGCGTCATCGGGCAGGGAGGAGTGCCATTCTCAAATCGAACAGTAATCTGTGCTGCTCTGTCATTTTGTCAACAAGGCAGCATGGTGGATTTATGGGAAGATTGTTCCATATAATGACATCTGCTTTCATATTGTTAAGGAATGGGATACAGTTATATTTATTATTTATTTGTTTGTCAATTATTAAGTATCCTAAGTGTTTGATATTTTTTCTGGTCCACTTAAAGGATTGTTGTAGATCATGAGATATTCTTTTTATTTTTCCTATTGCCATCATAACATTTTATATCCTGAGATTTTAGAGTATTCTGAAAAAAATAATTTTAGCAAGGGGGGCATTGAGTTTTCAATATTGGTCAGGTATATCAGGAGATCTGCAAATAAGTTCAGTTTATATTCATATTCATATTTAACCTATACTGATACCTGTTAAGTTTGGGTCCTGTCTAATTCTTTCTGCAAGCGGTTCAATTGCCGGTGCAAACAGAAAAGGGAGGGGAGGTGGGGAGAAGACATCCCTGTCTTGTACCCCTTTCTAAAGCAATTTTATCAGATAATGTATTATTTGTATATATTTTCGCTTTAGGACATGTATATAATATTTTTGATAAATGTATTTCAGCTGGAGTGTTGAAAGCTTACAAAGTTTTGAATAGAAAACGCCATTCAAGACGGTCGAAAGCCTTTTCGGCATCAACAGCCATTATTGATAAATCTTTATCTTGTTTTTTAGCATATTGTATTAAACTCAAACATGTTATTTTATTTGTTTGTAAGTGTTTATTTTTAATAAACCCTGTTTGATTATGTATCAAGTCTGGTAAGACTTTTCCCATTCTATTGCTTATGAGCTTTGTTATTATTTTATTGTCACAAGTTATTAAATGTATGGTTCTGTAATTAGCAGGGGACTCTCCAGATTTTCCTGGTATTAATGTAACTGAAAGAACTGTTTGATACATGAAACTAGGAAGCACTGAATTGTGTGATGTGTGTTGTCATTTGTGTAAAAAGGGGCGTTACTTTGTCCCAAAATTGTAAATATAATTCTATGGGAAAGCCATCCATTCCTGGTGCTTTTCTCCGTGCTAATGTTTTAACAGTGTCTACCTGGTGATATTTGTAGGATTGTGGCACATTCATTCTACAGTCTTTTAAAGTGTGTGTTTCGGTAATGACTTCAAAAGTGGGGACAGCATTTTTCAGAGAAAGATGTTTAAAAATAAACAAAACTAATAATTAGATCAGTATCTTTCAATGTAATAATAGAACATCTCTATTTAAGTGATAATGCCCTCGAAGCCAGTGTTTGGAGGATATATTGGCACGGGTGTTGTTTCGTCGAGGGCCAGCAAACCGTGCCAATATATCCTCCAAACACCGGCTTCGAGGGCATTATCACTTAAATAGAACCTCTTGAGTGCATTATCACTTTTATACAATGGGTTACCAACATATTCAAATAATGATTGACATTTTCATTAAAAACATTATTTTGGGGCCTCCCGAGTGGCGCAGCGGTCTAAGGCTGAGGCGTCACTACAGACCTGGGTTCGATCCCAGGCTGTGTCACAGCCGGCCGTGACCGGGAGACCCATGACCGGGAGACCCAGCGCACAATTGGCCCAGCGTCGTCCGGGTTAGAGGAGGGTTTTGCCGGCCGGGATGTCCTTGTCCCATCGAGCTCTTTTTTTGTTCTGTATCTATGGACACGACCCAGTCGTTCGTCCTAAATGTTCCATTGCCATACTGGCTGGCAATGTTCTTTTCCCTTGCTCGCTAGCTAGACAACTACGGCTATCTTAGTCACGTCAAACAGTGCAGCCAGAATAACAACAAAGTAGCCTCATTTGCATTTGTTTAAGCTGTTTTCTAGTGACATTTATTTGGATACATCCATAACAATGAGCTAATGAGGCGCGATTTTGCCTGGCATAGAAAATGTGCTCACTCGTCAGGACACTGTTGTTGAGAGGAGCTAGCCAACAACACAGCTAACACAATCACTTCAAACTGAAGCTGGAAAGACTGCAAACTAGCTGCACCTCATTTCGTATTACCTTTTTTCAATTGACATTTATTTGTATATATCCATAAAAATGATGCCAGCTGATTCATGATTTCGACTGGCTGAGAAACGCTGCCTGCCTGTCTGTCTCGTCCCGACTCCCGACACGTTCATTACTATGGGACAGCTGGAGATCGAATTTGAATATTGAAACAATATTGCAAATGTCGGAGAGACCGACAGCAAGGTGTATACAAATCTCCGCTGTTGAAAACTAAATGTTAGTCTAAAAGAGATTTGAGATAATGTCTAGATGCTTTTTATAGTGGAGATCAAGTTTATAAAGTGCCTGGCTGGGCTGATGAGACAGTGGATTGCGCAGTCAGATGGAAAAGAGTAAATAGGCATTTTAACGTCATTGACTTAGCCGGTGGTAACTTGTGGAATAGACACCAGCTGGAATGCGGTTTTAACCAATCAGCATTCAGGATTAGACCCACCCATTGTATAACTAACTGTGAATCGACATATGGGCATTGTTGCCTCATGTCGTACGCTTGTCATATGTAATCCATTCCTTGCCATCTTGCGCAATATTGCATTAGAAGTTTGCAAGTGTGAGTGTGTTACAGACTTGACAACATGTCCATAACACATGGCAGCTGGGGGTGGACCACACCTTGTTGTCTCTGGGCTATTGAACATCGATGGCAAAAGTGGGCATTTAAGTAATCCATACCCAACCCATCCATACCCGTTGTGACGCACTTACTTCCAAATCTCGTTTTGGACGAGACTGACTTTCTGACCAAAATTATCCTATTTACACATTGTAGTAAACTTTGACACTAGAATTAATGTTTCTGACTCATATCGATGGCACATAGGCCATTTATAACCAGAGAAGTTGGTTCTAGGAGGCAGTTCCCCTTTAAATGGTGGAAGCCCTCAATGGCAATGTCTATAGCAAAACGAGTTATTTCCATCTAGAGTTCTTTTATCTCTGTGATTGACACTTAAGACCGAAACGCCATTTTTTTGGCCAAAATAAAGATAGGTAAAGTGATAATTTAAACATCTAACAACATAATTAATTCAATGCATAAGTAATTCAATCAATTAACAAGTTTCATGTTCATACAATCAACATTTTACATTTTACAGAAAACAATAGATTATGTTTCTCTAAATTCGATTTAAAGGTTTTTAAAATCAGGTTAAAAATCATGTTTTTGCCATTTTGTTATTTTGTTATGCAAATAAAAATGTTACAATTAATCTGTAATAGAAGTTTAATCAAAATTATCCCTACTGTGCATGGTTCTCCCTTTTATTGCAACTTTTTCAGTATGTTTCGGTAGTGACACATTTACTGGGGTGGTAAGGAATGAAGGTAAATATTTCAAATATGCAATACAAACAACGTGTGTGAGTAGCATATATGTCTACCTGACGTACTGTATTTTTGAAGACGTGTGCTGAAAGTTTGGGAGACCCCCAATTTACACCACTTCTGTAGAATGATACAGTGCACTACTTTTGGCCAGCTCTGGTCAAAAGTAGTGCACTATGTAGGGAATAGGGTGCCATTTGGGATGTATTCGCGGTGTCCTTACCCTCTGAGGGATCCTGCTGAAGGCATCAAAGAACTGCTTGGCTCTCTCCTCTGGCATCTGGGAGACCAAAGAGCCCAGAGTGAAGACCACGAAGCCATCCTCTCCTGACTCATCCACAAACTCCTGCAGGTCCTGAAGAGGCACGGGGGGAATGGTTAGTTAACAAGAACATTTTACATTAATATTTTAGTCATCTAGCAGATGCTCTTATCCAGTGACTTACAGTCATTGCATTCAATTAAGTTTAGTAGGAAAGTACAACCACATATCACAGTTATTGCTAGTAGATCCTTTGAAATATCTTCACACTATGCAATGGGATCGTATGTACACAGGCAGAAAACACAGACAGCAACTGGTGTGTACTCTCACTCTGAAACCTTCCCTCATAGTAGCCATCAACATTTCACATTGGACAATATAATGTCTGTTTAACTTCCATACATCAGTGTTAGAACAGTCGTTGGTTTGGTTAGTAAAACATTGGCTAATGAAGGGTAAGGTTGTGAAAGGAGGCCATGCATTGATAACACGCCCTGTAATCATACAAGATAAAGGCATAATAAACCCTATAACAATCACAGCATACTAAACCCTAACCCCAACACTACAGAAATATCCCTGCAGCGTAGTTTCCCTTCTTGAGGTTTGTAGGGTTGGAAGAACACAATAGGGCCCCTCAGTTCCTCTGTTAGATTATAATGGCCACAGTCCAGGAGGAAAGAACTGCTGTTCCTGGCTCAGGTTTCACTGGCTGCACAGAACCTGTGTCCCACATGGTACCCCATTCCCTATGTAGTGCACTATTTTTGACTAGAGCCCTATGGGCCCGGTCAAAAGTAGTGCACTATATAGGGAAAACGGTGCCATTTGGGATACAACAATAATGTTTAGAGAAGAGAGAGGAATGCTCTCCCAACATTAATGTTGAGCAACACTTCTCTTTCTACAAAATATGAAGAACTACACCAATGTTTCCCTGCAGATCTTCTTTGTTCTTTTTGCCTTCTCCAAGCTCAATGATGGGGTTAGAAAAACACACATCTCAATTAAACTAGAACTGTTTTCAGTAACTCCATTTGAAAGTGTGTAATTACGCAGAATTCCTATTGGTGCATTGATTCTTATACACCTTAAAACATTGTCAGAATAACTTGTTTGGCATGATCCCTATAGCACTCTGGCATCTGTTATCAGTAGGGGAGAGTGGGGTAAGTCAAGCCATTTTTCTGATTCAGCATCACTCTGTCAAGGGAAATATACTATTCTTTCTGACAAATATATCTACATATATTTCAGGATGTTATGTATCCCGGGAAATAATCAGAATTCATGTAAACATTACAGATTTGAAAACATAGCTTGTCCAAAAAAGGTGGTCTCTTGGCACAACAAGTTGAGCCGCAGGACAGGGTAAGTTAAGCCGCCTACACATTTCTGTACTGAATGAAATATTATCACTACCTTTTTAAAACAATGTCTATTCTTATTTCCCAAACACAATTCATCGCAATCACATTCGCTTTTTTGTCTTTTAATCATTTTAAGCATCTTTTAATACAGAATTGACAGGAAAGTAGCTGGTTCTCTAGTCTACACTATGTTTCACGTTTTGTTAACAGATTGCAAGGCAAATGAGGTTGAAATGTAATTTATGTTGTGTAACGTGAGGGGGAGCTGAACTTGGTAGATAAACACTGAGCTATGTCGAGTCAGTCCTCATGGAGGAAACACAGATCAGGTTACAGCCAGCCGCTATTTGAGTGTCAAACAGGCCTAAGTGTCTGACAACATCTGTAGTGGAGGACTACATCCAACACTTTGACTGACTGTCTCTTTAAGAATATAAAAATAAGGGATTCAGAGAACACATGTCAGAACATAAAGATCTTGAAAAGGGATATTGTCCCAAATAATAAAATAAGAATTTGATATCTTGAAATATGTAAACAAGTTGAAAGTTTGCTGTATTTTATCCTGCTGTGGTACAACTACCACTGCAGTGAATCTATCCCTTATAGGAAATTCTACCCCAAAACTATATTTAGGTATTTATTTCATTAGTCCATTGTTGATATAGTCCCAAAATGATTTTCATGTCAGCAATCAAGTTTTCAAGATATATAACTTTAAAAATACAGAAATACAGCTGGTCTGATGCATTTGGCATTATTTGATGCAAAACGCTGCATCATATGATGCAAAATGCATAATACCGGCTGTATTTCTGTATTATGAAAGTTATATATCTTGAAAATGTGATTGCTGACATGCAAAACATTTTGGGACTATATCAACAATGGACTAATGAAACAAATACCAAACGATAGTTTTTGGGTGGAGTTTTCCTTTAAGGTTTCTGGACCTGGATCCATACAACATATAGGGTGCAAAACTCTGGACAGTGGAAGTTTCTGCACAGTTGTTTGATATAAAACATTTTTACAAGAGACTCACCGGTGGCAGTGGAGCTCTTTTACCACAGTTGATGCCTCCTATGTTGACCATGTTGGGCATCCTGGGTTTGGGATATTCAAAGGAGTAGTCATACCTCAGCAGCCAGATAGCACCGTGTCCCAGCAGCTCCCTGTACGTCATGTCCTTTTCCAGATACCTACTAGTCAGCTTGTCAAAGCTGGTAAACATTACTGTACACAGGTAGCTCTCCAGACTGTACATCACCATGTTCTTAACCCTCCCTAGGAAGTCCATGTGGTCAGTGTTGCCTGAGTAGAAGCGTGGTACATAGGAGGGGGGAGTGGGGCACTGGGCAGCCCTGTCATCCAGCCCACAGGGGATCCCCCTCAGGAAGTACACTGCTGGGATGTTGAAGGAGTCAGCAATGATGGATCCACAGGGTAGGAAGGGATCCGTCAACATAAGCTGGAACCCTTCTCCTCTGAGGCGCTGCATCAGGGGTTCATCATACAGCAGACCCTCACAGCCTTTCACCTGCATGGTGGTGAAGTCAACCAGACGCTGCACATTCACAAATATATCCATTACCTCCGGCATCTTGAGAAACACGCCATCCTTCAGTTTGTTGATGCTCTCGTCCAGCTGGGCCTTGCTGTAAGGGACACTAAAGGTCTCAGTCCTATAGTAGTCAGAGCCCTGGATGAGGATGGATGTCTCAGGGACCAGCACCACCATCTCATGGCCCCTGGCCGCCAGCTCCTTCACCAGCAGCTTCATGCTCAGCCAATGGCTCCCATCTACAGGCATCACCAAGACCTTTTCCCCCTGGACAGGCCCCGGACACAGGGCCAGGCAGCACAGCAGGGCCAGCAGACCCTGTCCCAGACACTGCCCCATCTTCATCCCCGTCCTCAGCCCCAGCAGAGGAACATTCTTCCCCCAACCCATGCCTCTCTGCCTTTCAGCTCAGTAACACGAGCTGTGTTGTGAGAAGGACACTACTTCCCTGAGATCTGGCACTGAGTGCTACTGAAAGGGGGCTGGACCTCAGACTCAACTGTATGTGGGTGGGTGGGTTGGTGAGTGTCTCCCTGCTCGTTCACGGTCTGCCTCTGCGGGCAGGCTGTTATATAGCCCCAGTCAGTCCTTCCTGTGGACTAAGGTTTATCTGCAGGCTGAATGGTTCAGGTTCATGATTCCTTAAGGTCAACTGAGAGAGGTAGAGGATTGGCTCGCTAGTAATCTCTCGTGACAACCTTAACAGTAGGTTAGCAGAGTTGGTTCTGGATGCCGAGATTAGCTAGCTAGTGATTTATAATGCAATAGTTTTAAAGCAAAACTATACCAGAGATACTTTTTTTAACAAGTACTGTTGAAAACCAACACTTCAAGTACTGTTTCAAACACAAAATTAATGAATGATTTAACATACTTATTTCCAATAGTGATTATATTGTTATAGTTGAAGTGTTGGTTTTCTTAGTTCCACAAAATAAACTGTTATTTATTAATTTCCCATTGAGCAGCGTGACATTGAAAAAAAAAGTAATGTGAAAGGTCATTACAGACCATGTAACATGTAAGTCAAAGTTAACCCTTACCCTGGGAGGAGTCATGGTGGTATTCTAATCCTAAAGCTCAGAGTATTACCTCATGTTTCGTGAGGAATCTAGATCATTAACTTCAGCTCCTCCCCTTTCTCCTCCCACCCAAAACACTGACATGCAAACTCATGCTCTCACTCACACGCAAACCTCCAACCATACATACTTTTGCACGCACAGTTGCATGCACACAGACTCACACACTTTTCACATACTTTCACACACTTTCTCATACACACACACTCAAAAAGACCAGTGGCGTGCGAAGGCAGCTGTCTTGGGAAACAAACACTCACACCTCCAGTCTGGGGGAGATAACATCTAACATATAGAGGGGTATTTCACCTACGGTTAAAACTAATACTACTATTGATAAACCACCTTTATCACAGTGACACAAATATGTTACATTTGTCCTCCACTATGTTAATGAAGAATAAAAGATTGGTTTCCTTGAACATAAACAAAAATACATCAGCATTGAAAGAATGCTGAGTGTTATGCAATCAACTATTTTGAATTACATATTACAATACAATACAGTATACAGTGCTAATCAACTATTTAAAGCTGAAGGACTGTGATCAATAACAACACTGTTATCCTGAGTACAGTCCCACCCACAGACTGAGCCTATCTACACCACACTCTATTTACTCTCTGAACAGAAACTGTTGAGGTGATCAACTAACTCACTGTGATGGTTTTTAATGAAGGAAGCTAAATATAAAAATTACTTCCAGTGCCCATCATTCTGGATATGATCAGACAGTTGACTGTTTGTTGTTACCATGTTTGTTTGTGTATCTGGGGTATCAGGGCTCTACAGTGTAAACAACTAGCTGAGGAATACAGCCAGGCCCCCTGGGACAATACAACACAGAGTCATTACAGCCAATGGCCATCTGTTTTCACTGAGATGATGGTTCTTCAACAGAGCAAAGAGAGACCACACAGAACACCCAAGTAACAAACAGTCTAATTCAGAACACACATCTGTCCATGCCCTGAGGCCAGGCTGGGTGTTCTATTCTACACGGTTCTAAAGGTTGGGCCTCTGTCTGGGGTATTCTTCCTCATGTTGTGTACACAGACAGAAATGGATGAATGAGAAGAAGAGAAGAGGGACGTTTCTCATGTCTCAGAGGACTAGAAGCATGGCTCATCTGATCAATAGACTGTGAATATGTTCCAAATGGCACCCTATTCCCTATATAGTGCACTACTTTTGACCAGAGCCCTATAGGGAATAGGGTGCCATTTAGTGCACAATCTGTGTCACCCTCTGCAATAGTCATACACAGCATTATATGAAATTGCCTTTTTTATAGTGACCAAAAAGAATCCATTAAGACTATTGTCTTATTGACTGTGATGTGGTTATTTTACCTACCTTAAGGCTCGATTCAATCCGTATCGCGGAAGTATAGCGCGATTTGAAATTGAAAGGTAATTTCCGATTGTGCCGACATATGCAGCATTTACAGTGAACGCTGTCTCCGTGAACACGGGAACATCGCCTTTAAATTTCAAATGCGCTATAGCGCTGAACTTCCGCGATACGGATTGAATAGAGCCCTTGGTTACATGCACTGAATAAGAAGTCGCTCTGGATAAATGACCAAAATGTCAATGTATAATGTCTTATGTTATACAGTATTTCAATAGCTTATAGCTACCTCTGGCAGTTCGTTTGGCTCTTCAAAGTGAATTCCTCCGATCATCACCATATTAGGCATCAGAGGCCTGGGGAACTCTAAGGTAAAGTCGTAGCGCTCCAGCCACAGTGATGCCCTCTTCATCAGCTCTGGGATGGTGGTCTCTCTCCCCAGGATCTCTGAGGCGATGACGTTGACATCAGAGTACAGGTACCTGCAGGACAAGGGTTTGAGGTCAGGGGTTAAGGCAGCCATACTCAATAGGCAGACCGCGGACTGGATCCAGACCCAAAACTGGGTCAATATGGACCATGGGTCCTAACAAAAAATATATACAATTTGATGGAGGGAATTCGGTCGGGATCTTTTCCTTCGCTCCATGGCATAATGTGTATAATTGCAGGAAATTAGCTTTAAAACTGCAATTTTTTCTCTGCCAATAAGAGGGGTGTGAACAGTTTCAACAGTTTGGGATCGCATTGGATGCAAGGAGGGCATTTGTTACTACACTGATAAATGCCAATATCCATCCGGACCCTTGCCACCTAGGACATTTGTCTGACCGGACCGTCTCAAATGGTATTTGAGTACCCCTGGGTTAGGGTTGACATCAGAGTACAGGTACCTGCAGGCCAGGGGGCGGAGCAACGCCCACAGGAAGTTGACGCTCCTCTGCCTCAGGGTCATGTGATCAGGGAAGTGAGTAAAGCGTCCGGGGGTGTAGGAGGGGGGGCTGGGGCACTGGGAGGCCTCGAGGTCCGTTCCACAAGGCAGGCCATTCTGAATGAAGATGGCAGGCAGGGAGAGGAGTGCTCCTACAATCACGCCCACTGGCTCAAAGGGGTCAGTCAGCATGGCATCAAACCCCTGCTCCCTCAGAGTCTGCATCATGTCCTGGTTGGCTAGCAGGCTGTCACAGTTGTTACGGGTGTAGTTCCTGAGAACTGTCAGGGTCTGGTAGTAACTCCACATCCTGCTGATGTCGTTGGAGGTGTCGGAGGCCATGATGGTGTCCAGGTTGGCCCTCTGAATAGTCTGGAGCTGGGTCTGGGTGTAGGGCACGGGGTAGGTCAGAGTGATGGTGTGTTCCGACGGACCCAGAGAGCCACTTACCTCTGGAATCACCACCACCACCTGGTTACCGCGGCGACCCAGCTCCTCCACCAATGGCTTCATGCCCGTCCAATGGCTGCCGTCGGCTGGGATCACCAGGAGTTTACCGGCCCAGCAGGACACCACCAGACACAGAGAGAGGACCAGGCCTGCTGCTGCTCCCCTTAACCTTACCCCTCCTCCAGCCATAACACAGCAGTACAGTACAGTCACACTGTAGGATAGAGAGAACAATACACACGGTTACAGAGTAGCAGAACTGTGCTTCCTAGCAGAGAACCAAGTGTTTAAATAGAAAAGGGTGTGTCATTATCAGGGGCTGGCCTGATTCAACCGGCTGAAATCAAGACTTCAACACTAAACAAGCAAAAAGTTGTTTGACAGTTGTTCATTTCATTGGTCATAGCAGGAGTGCCAAACAACAATGAGCTGTGCATTCAGAAATGTGTTCACTACAACCGGGTGTCATGCTGACAATGCATTCATGTCAAATGTGAGCTGATGCAGGGTTTGTAGAGGGATCTGTCTGCACAAAGATACAACGTCATACTCATTCTGTGCAATAGGGCTCCCGAGTGGCGCAGCGGTCTAAGGCACTGCATCTCAGTGCTTGAGGTGTCACTACAAACAAACCCCCTGGTTCGATTCCAGGCTGTATCACAACCGGCAATGATTGGGAGTCCCATAGGGCGGCGCACAATTGGCCCAGAGCCATTTGGCCGGTGTAGGCCGTCATTGTAAATAAGAATTTGTTCTTAACTGACTTGCCTAGTTAAATAAAGGTAAAATAAAAGTAGCATGCTGCACTACTACACCTATAGTCATGCTGTACGTGAGAGAAAAGGCAACATCAAACTGGTTGAATCAATGTTGTTTCAACGTATTGTGACGTGGAAAATACATTGGATTTTTAAAAGTAAACAAAAATATTTGATTTGATTTAGTCCAATTCTTTAACTAAAATTTTTGGTTGCGATGGAGACGTGAATCCAACACACCAATTCTTAATTTGTAGACAAGCTGGATTTTTGTATTGCGTTTCGTTGTCACATACAGTGGGGGAAAAAAGTGTTTAGTCAGCCACCAATTGTGCAAGTTCTCCCACTTAAAAAGATGAGAGGCCTGTAATTTTCATCATAGGTACACGTCAAATATGACAGACAAATTGAGAGAGAAAAAAATCCAGAAAATCACATTGTAGGATTTTTTATGAATTTATTTGCAAATTATGGTGGAAAATAAGTATTTGGTCAACTACAAACAAGCAAGATTTCTGGCTCTCACAGACCTGTAACTTCTTCTTTAAGAGGCTCCTCTGTCCTCCACTCGTTACCTGTATTAATGGCACCTGTTTGAACTTGTTATCAGTATAAAAGACACCTATCCACAACCTCAAACAGTCACACTCCAAACTCCACTATGGCCAAGACCAAAGAGCTGTCAAAGGACAACAGAAACAAAATTGTAGACCTGCACCAGGCTGGGAAGACTGAGTCTGCAATAGGTAAGCAGTTTGGTTTGAAGAAATCAACTGTGGGAGCAATTATTAGGAAATGGAAGACATACAAGACCACTGATAATCTCCCTCGATCTGGGGCTCCACGCAAGATCTCACCCCGTGGGGTCAAATTGATCACAAGAACGGTGAGCAAAAATCCCAGAACCACACGGGGGGACCTAGTGAATGACCTGCAGAGAGCTGGGACCAAAGTAACAAAGCCTACCATCAGTAACACACTACGCCGCCAGGGACTCAAATCCTGCAGTGCCAGACGTGTCCCCCTGCTTAAGCCAGTACATGTCCAGGCCCGTCTGAAGTTTGCTAGAGTGCATTTGGATGATCCAGAAGAGGATTGGGAGAATGTCATATGGTCAGATGAAACCAAAATATAACTTTTTGGTAAAAACTCAACTCGTCGTGTTTGGAGGACAAAGAATGCTGAGTTGCATCCAAAGAACACCATACCTACTGTGAAGCATGGGGGTGGAAACATCATGCTTTGGGGCTGTTTTTCTGCAAAGGGACCAGGACGACTGATCCGTGTAAAGGAAAGAATGAATGGGGCCATGTATCGTGAGATTTTGAGTGAAAACCTCCTTCCATCAGCAAGGGCATTGAAGATGAAACGTGGCTGGGTCTTTCAGCATGACAATGATCCCAAACACACCGCCCGGGCAACGAAGGAGTGGCTTCGTAAGAAGCATTTCAAGGTCCTGGAGTGGCCTAGCCAGTCTCCAGATCTCAACCCCATAGAAAATCTTTGGAGGGAGTTGAAAGTCTGTGTTGCCCAGCAACAGCCCCAAAACATCACTGCTCTAGAGGAGATCTGCATGGAGGAATGGGCCAAAATACCAGCAACAGTGTGTGAAAACCTTGTGAAGACTTACAGAAAACGTTTGACCTGTGTCATTGCCAACAAAGGGTATATAACAAAGTATTGAGAAACTTTTGTTATTGACCAAATACTTATTTCCACCATAATTTGCAAATAAATTCATTAAAAATCCTACAATGTGATTTTCTGGATTTATTTTTCTCAATTTGTCTGTCATAGTTTACGTGTACCTATGATGAAAATTACAGGCCTCTCTCATCTTTTTAAGTGGGAGAACTTGCACAATTGGTGGCTGACTAAATACTTTTTTTTCCCCACTGTAACCAAATATCAACATTTGAAGGAGATGTACAGTTGAAGTCGGAAGTTTACATACACTTAGGTTGGAGTCATTAAAAACTAGTTTTTCAACCACTCCACAAATTTCTTGTTAACAAACTATAGTTTTGGCAAGTCGGTTAGGACATCTACTTTGTGCATGACACAAGTAATTTTTCTAACAATTATTTACAGACAGATTATTTCACTTATAATGCACTGTATCACAATTCCAGTGGGTCAGAAGTTTACATACACTAAGTTGACTGTGCCTTTAAACAGCTTGGAAAATTCCAGAAAATGATGTCAAGGCTAATTGACATCATTTGAGTCAATTGGAGGTGTACCTGTGGATGTATTTCAAGGCCTACCTTCAAATTCAGTGCCTCTTTGCTTGACATCATGGGAAAATCAAAAGTAATCAGCCAAGACCTCAGAAAGAGAAATTGTAGACCTCCACAAGTCTGGTTCATCCTTCGGAAGCAATTTCCAAATGCCTGAAGGTACCACGTTCATCTGTACAAACAATAGTACGCAAGTATAAACACCATGGGACCACGCAGCCGTCATACCGCTCAGGAAGGAGATGCGTTCTGTCGCATTGGAGCGAAAAGTACAAATCAATCCCAGAACAACAGCAAAGGACCTTGTGAAGATGCTGGAGGAAACAGGTACAAAAGTATCTATATCCACAGTGAAACGAGTCCTATATCGACATAACCTGAAAGGCCGCTCAGCAAGGAAGAAGCCACTGCTCCAAAAACGCAATAAAAAAGCCAGACTACGGTTTGCAACTGCACATGGGGACAAAGATTGTACTTTTTGGAGAAATGTCCTCTGGTCTGATGAAACAAAAATAGAACTGTTTGCCCATAATGACCATCGTATTGTTTGGAGAAAAAAGGGAAAGGCTTGCAAGCCGAAGAACACCATCCCAACCGTGAAGCACGGGGGTGGCAGCATCATGCTGTGGGGGTGCTTTGCTGCAGGAGGGACTGGTGCACTTCACAAAATAGATGGCATCATGAGGAAGGAAAATGATGTGGATATATTGAAGCAACATCTCAAGACATCAGTCAGGAAGTTAAAGCTTGGTCGCAAATGGGTCTTCCAAATGGACAATGACCCCAAGCATACTTCCAAAGTTGTGGCAAAATGGCTTAACGACAACAAAGTCAAGGTATTGGAGTGGCCATCACAAAGCCCTGACCTCAATCCTATAGAAAATGTGTGGGCAGAACTGAAAAAGCTTGTGCGTGCAAGGAGGCCTACAAACCTGACTCAGTTACACCAGCTCTGTCAGGATGAATGGGTCAAAATTGACCCAGCTTATTGTGGGAAGCTTGTGGAAGGCTACCCAAAACGTTTGACCCAAGTTAAACAATTTAAAGGCAATGCTACCAAATACTATTTGAGTGTATGTAAACTTCTGACGCACTGGGAATGTGATGAAAGAAATAAAAGCTGGAATAAATCATTCTCTCTACTATTATTCTGACATTTCACATTCTTAAAATAAAGTGGTGAACCTAACTGACCTAAGACAGGGACTTTTTACTAGGATTAAATGTCAGGAATTGTGAAAAACAGAGTTTAAATGTATTTGGCTAAGGTGTATGTAAACTTCCGACTTCAACTGTATCTTCTGAATTGAATATGTTGGATTCAAGACCAAATCTCAAACAAAACTCAAAGTTAAAGAATAAGACTACTGTCATCATAATAAAGGTTATACTTCTATTAAAGGGAGTGAATTCATCAAAAATACACACACATACACAACATGTTAAATAACACAATTTAGACAATCTAAGAAAAGAAACACACGCTGCAGCCCATTTGGCAATTTGGGATCCCCAACTTCCAAACAGGGATTTCAACCAATTTGCAGGCGTCCACTCTGGTTGTGGGGAATTATTCTTAGCAACAGTGGCATTGCATTCGGGCGAGATCAGTCAAAAGTACAACATTCATCACCAATGATTGCACAAGTGCCCCCTTGACCTGCCAAAAGATAGTCAAGAACCTCTCTGTTTTGCAGAGCCAATTTACACAATTATTTTAGCATTGCCAATTTTCTCTACATCTTTAGAGATCTCCCGAATTTGGTCTAGGGCACATGCATATTAACTTTCACAGAGAATAGAGAGGCCAGGGTTGTGGGTTCGATTCCCACGGGGGGGCAGTATGAAAAATGTATGCACTCACTAACTGTAAGTCGCTCTGGATAAGAGTGTCTGCTAAATGACTAAAATGGAAATAAGAATGAGATTGGGGCAAGGTTAGCCCAAGCTACAATCTAGTGGCTCTCCTCACATTTTAGGGGCATAGCCTTTCCAAATCATAATTACAACTACTGATAAATTATCCAACCCAAATTTAGAATGACAGTCCTTAGTGCTTCACGTTGGTTCTATCACTTTAATTTAAGACCCTCAACTTAGCACACACCGATACTGGCAGAATGTACATTTACATTGACATACAGTATATTCATCTTATATTTAAAGCATGAACTTTTCTCATCACTTGTGGTAATGACAGGTTGGTATCTCAATG